ACCTCAGTGTATCTGGCTGAGAACAGGAGGCTCCAGGATGCAGCACCAACTGAAGACCCCCTCTTGGGTGCCAGGATTCCTACCACTTTTAGGTTAATTGACAGTGGACGAAAAGCCAGCTTTTGTCAAGAGGATGATAGTACACCATCCTTTTTTGAACCAAGTGGTGGTCCAGGGATGTTGTCATGGGGTAAAGAACACTTTCTGTGATGTTTTAGTCTGAATCAACCTGGGCGTTTTGCAGGGTTGGCCACATGCTCATTTGAAGAGTGATCTTCCAAAAAGATGTGTTTCCATCTTGACCCTATAACTTATACATGTGACCTTATTTGGATAAAGGGTCCTTGTAATTGTAATCAAGTTAGGAATCTTGCAATTAGGTTGCCAATCTTGAGGCCACATGTCTCTGATGAAATGCAAGTGTACTTGTAAGAGACACACAGAAAGGAGGAAGCAGCTCAGCCGTAGAGGCAGACAGAGTTATGCAGTGCTCAGTCTGGGGACAAGTCTAGGGACACTTGGAACCACCAGGGCTAGGTGGGACAAGAAAAGAGTCTCTCAGAGCTCCAGAGGAAACATAACTCTGTAGATTTTAGACTTCTGGCTTCCATAACTGTGAAAGAATATATGTCTACTGAGTTAGAAACAGTCTCATTTGTGTCAGTCTGTCACTGAAGCCCTCAGAAACCAGTCCACTGTGTCTGTCCTGAGAGGCGACATGGCCAGAGGTAAAAAAAAATCTGGTTATGTTCAGATCTGCCCCTGGGACCACCCACAGCACAGTGGTCCAACATCCCACAGCAGTCTGCCTCCACCTGTTCCCCACGCCCCATCCCCGCCCCATGTTTGTTCTTTATGTCAGAGTAGGCCTTACTGTTCTCTGTCTGAGGTTGCCACTCATCAGGAAGGAGGTAAGCTAGTCAGACCTGCATAGCTATTTGAAAGGATGGTAATGATAACGGCCACATTATATAATCGTTAGTGTGTGCTACGTACATCACGGGCTTTATCTCATGTAGTTCTGAGTGAGAACAGTCCTCTGAGGTGTATAGTCTTGCCGATATATAAACTGAGGCCGTGAGATGTCAGGTCACCTTGTCAGGATCACTTAGTGAATGCTTGCAGAGCCAGACCTTCAACCCAGGTCTTTCTAGGTTCAATTTGTAGCATTATAAAAGGCTCAAGCTGGGGGCTGGAGAGATGGCTCAGTGGTTAAGAGCACTGACTGCTCTTCCAAAAGTCCTGAGTTCAATTCTCAGCAACTACATGGTGGCTCACAGCCACCTGTAATGGGATCTGATGCCCTCTTCTAGTGTGTCCGAATACTGAGATGGGAGGCTGAGGTGATGGCCCAGTGGGTCAAGCACTTGCTCTGCAAGCATGAGGACCTGAGTTTAGATCACCAGCAGCCATGTCAAAAGCCACATATACCTCTAACTCCAGGACTAGGGATGGACAGAGATGGGAAGATCATTAGCCTAGCCAAAACACTGCAAACTCCAGGCCAGCAAGAGACACTGACTCACAGTGATAAGCAGAGAGTACCACAGTACGAGAACGGACTTCCCCCTGTGCCCTCTACATAGTCACAAAGTCAGCACACACACCCATACACACGCATCTACATACTTGCATACGTATACCACCCCATCCCTTCCCTACCCCATACAAATAAATAAATCAATGCTGATAAGATGACCTGGTCAGATGCTGCTAACAACACATGGTAGCAAAACATCTGCTTTCACAGGGAAATAATCACAAGTAGAACTGGCCAAGTTCCTCATCGCTGCGAGGCTCTGAGACCCTTTCTCCTTTCCCAGGCATCTAGGGGAAAGGATGAACTCTCTAGGCAAAGTGACCTCCCTGGTGTGAGAAATTTGAGTGTTCACTGCTGTGCCTGCTCCCTGCTTTTCCACCAACAGAGGACAAGTCTCTACAAAGCTGTCACACAGGGACAGAAGCAGAGAGGAGGACCCAGGCTGGTGGAGAAAAGCTCCGATAGGTCCTGGTCTGGGCACAATGGCACTCTTTGGAGTCTCTTCTTTGCAGGTTTACACTCTGGCGGGCACACCTTCAGAGTCTTAGGAGACAGCTTAGGTCTCCTACTTGCTATGGCTGAGACTGGGGTGAGGCTAACATGGCGGCCTCTCCCCACTCCAGGGAGACAAATGCAGCCTGCCAGATTTCCTCCCACACAGACCTCTGTAGGAGATAAAGGCAGAGAGGGAACTGCCACAGGACAGCCACATGATAAATTCCCTTGGGCCTCCTCCTGTGTTCATTGTTCTGCCCTGGTTGTTTTGAGTACAGTCAAAAGGAAGAGCCCTGTGCTATCAGACTGAGGAAGGAGGATGCTCTCCTGTTGCCCTTGGCCACCCTCGTTTTAAATGTGAGGAAACCAAAGGGCAGTGTGCAGCCTAACCCCATCTGCCCCGGAGGAGCAGTCAGCCAGCCTTCCAGGGAAGCTGTAACCTCTCTCCAGACCAAATGACAGCACACCGGTGGCCCGGCCCTTGTCCTTTAACTCAACCTCAGGGACTGACAGATGAAACCGTTTGGAGCAGGAGATAGAAATAGGTTTTGGAGGGGCCACATTAGTTGTTGTTCATGCCCTAGGCTGAGAACTAAACCTGTAAGGCCACAACTGTTAGAAATAATAGGCCAGAAAGGGACATCCTGCATAACTCTGGCCCACTGCCTGCTTCTCCAGTCAGAGAGCAACTCAAGTTCCTGGGAACTATAGTCAACTTTCGGAGTCTGGGCTGGGTCCCTGGTTCAAGTGCAAGGTTGGGATGAACAGGAAGCCGCTTGAGCCACCATGGCTGAATTTCTTCAAGGAAGTAGAGCAGAAAGCCTTGGCTTTCCTTAAGCTGTGTGCACCCAAGGTTACAAGTGCCAAACTGTGTGTTCTTCTTGAATTGCAGACTCAAGCAGATGTCCACCCTGTTCAAGGCCCAGACTCTGACTGGACAGGTGCCTGGCTGCCATGGCCGGGTCATCTTTGTCTGAGTTAGAAGGCCGTGTCTGAGCCATCAAAGGGGTCTCAATGGGAGAAGACAGACGTCAATGTGCTTCCTCAACCAGAAAGGTGATTTCAATTTGGCCGGAGCAGCCCAACTAAACAAGCAGAATCCTGTCGACTGAAAGATAGAGCTTCTGGGAGATCACACAGCAGCAAAATGGGGGCCATTATCAGACTTGTCCCAGCCCGAAGGGGCAGGGCCTTTGAAGCCACAGACAGGCTGAACAGAACTTTCCACCTGGGAGATGTTGGGGATGGAAGGTCAGGCTGCACACAGCCCCCACAAAAAAAAAAAAAACTGATCAAAGCCTGCTGCAGAAGGGAGGCGGCATACAGCTGCAACTGGCTCCCCCCACGGGGCCGCCCAGGGCCTTCTGAAGGCAACTGGACTGCTTGTGCAGGGGCCTGTGGGAAAACCCAACACAGATACAGTGTACGCCCCGGAGCACTGCTGGGAGAGGGAAAATAAACCCCTCAGTGGTCCTGAAAAGAAAAGCAGGGAATCAAAGCACAAAATCTGCAAAGACCACCCACCTGATGTGTGCCTACCTTTCGGAAACAAATAACTCCTGGCTTCCAGGGCCTGTTTCTAAAAGAACAAACAGACTGAACACTTGGCCTCAAAGCTTTGTGCACCGGGGGATTTGTGGGATGCAGAGGCCCCTCCTAAGCATCCAAAGCTTGAATTAAAGTGGTGCTTATTCAAGGGCTTCCTTGCATGGGCTCTGCACTTCTCCCTGGGAACCTGAAAGACAAGAACTCTCAGGAAGGGAAGGGGTCCTGTGTGGATATGCTAACTCAGTTCCTCAGACTAGATGGTTGCCTATTTATCTGCTGGGGGACGGACTGGGTGCATTGTCTAGGAATGAGTCCATCTGTGAACAGGCCATACATATACTGGCTGGCTGTAAAGCTCTTTCTTGTCCCTATGGCTCTGTGAGAGTCTACGTAACCCCTGCTCAGACTCACCCTCCTCCTCCTGCCTGAAGCCCCCTTTCTTGGAGCCCGCAGTTTGATCTTTTTCTGAAGTGGATACAACAAAGCAAAGCCACTTTCAAGGGACTTTCTCCTGCTCAAAGGAATATGAGAGCTCTTTGCTTTCTCCCTTTGGGGACTGGGCTTGAAGGGAGGTTGGAATGGGGATATGACCTGGGGCCCCTGGGTTTGCTGCAGGGAGAAATGAGTTGAGTATTTGGGAGAAACTGAGACGAGAACAGCCTAGACTCAACCAAGTGGTGGTATTGTTATCAAAGTGGGTTTGAGGCTAGACAGAGGGCTTCTGGGAAGAGGAGCAGAAGAGGCGTGTCTCCTTACCCCTATTTTTCTGGATCCAGATGGTAAAGAGTGAGCAGCCAGAAATCCACCCACTACTCGCTAAATTTGGTTCTTTATGTCACCTGACCTTGTGAGGTGAGTGAGGGCATCTCCATCTTACAGGTGACAGAACATTTGGGGTTACAAGGCTCTCCAGCAACACACATGGTGCTATAATCTGAGTTCATAAGCATCGGGACTCCAAGGTTCACAACCTATTCTCCTCATTCTAGTTCTGGTTGTCGTGCTTCTTGGGGTTAGGGAGATATTAATAGATGTTCCACAAACAAAATCAAGTGCAATCAATGGGAGTGGCTGAACACACACAGGCCTCTTCCACAGGGTGCAGGAGGTGGGAGGGTTGTCCTTTGCATGGGGTGGGGGTAATCCTTTCAGGTCTATCTAGGTTCTAGAAGGAAATTCTCTGAGGCAGCAAATGAAATTCTGCCCTGAGGTGGAAGGAGGTCTATTTTGAAATGAATACTCAGTAAAATTTATGCAGACCCCCCCCCCAAGGAGAGACAGAGGAGGTGGAGGGACATGAAAGGCAGGGTAGGTAGATAGGAAAATGCCACAGCCTTGCCTTTCATCCAGGAAGTAGAAAGCCTTCAGAGGCTCTAATTACATCTTCATCCCAGCCCTTCTGAAGTGTCTGGGCCACATTAACAATACCCCTTATTTTAGGCATGGATATATTCCAGTACCAAAAGCTCTGGCAACTCTCTCCAAGGCGAGCAGAATCCAGAGCAGGACCTGGAAGCACAGCGTTGTTCTGCAAATCCAGTTGGGTGCTATCTCCAGCATAGGAAACCAACGTCTTCGTTGAGACGTTTCAGGGCAAGGGGTGTCAGAAGACCTAGAAATGAACGTGGGCAGAAGAGAGCGATTAGCTTTGCACTTTGACTGTATAAGTGCCTGTGTGTGTATTCTTTAATGTGGGCGTGCTCCTCTGTGTGCTTCCTTGGGTTTGCTTTGTCACACCAGCGCAGAGGGCCAGGTTGAGTCCCTCATTTTACATAATGCTACACTGGACAGCAAGATCCTCTGCTGATAGAAGCCAGAGGAACCTGGCCGGTGTCCATCATGAAAGTTAAGAGGACTAAGAGCCTGGGATGCTGAGGTTAAGGCTGCTGGATGGAAAAAGGAACCAAAGCACTATTTTGCTAGTTTCTGGTTTGATTTCAATTATGTTATTTCCTGCTGGGAGCTGGGGAAGGAGGGAGGGAAGGGAAGAGGAAGGGAGAATAAGAAAGGAGAAGGAGACGGAGGGAGAAAGACTGACAGATACAGAGAGAGAGAGAAAGAGAAAGAGAGACAGAGAAAGACAGAGAGAAAGAGAGGGAGAGAAAGAGAGAGAGAGGGAAAGAGGGAAAGAGAGGGAGAGAGAGGGAGAGAAAGAGAGAGAGAGGGAAAGAAAGAGACATTGCCAGATAGCACTGGATTCCAGTAGTGGTGGTGTTCCCTAATGGGCATTCAGTTTTGTTTCTCAACCCTCTCTAGAGTTCTATAGTTATTCCCCATTGGTGAGCTGCAGATTCCTTATGGAAGGCCAGGAGGTGGGGTCACACGCCTATGATATAACTCTGTGCTACATCCAACATGAACCGAACCAAGAGAATGCAAAATTTAATCTGATATGAAAGTCTCTAGCAGCCTTTGTCATTGAAGCTCAGTACCCACGAAAGTATCTTCTCTGTAGTCATGGTATTCAAACCAGGTCCAAGGAACCTCAGGGATTCCTTCATCTATAAGGGAAGGATCAGCATGGAGCAAAAGTAGACAGGACTCCCCTACACACACACACACACACACACACACTCACAGAAAAAGATAGATGGACACATAGATATATGGAGACACACAGACAGATATACAGATACACAAATATGCAGACACACACAGACACACACACTCACAGAAAGAGACAGACAGACAGATACACACATATATGGTGACACACAGATACATATATATATATACAGACACACACAAAGAGATACATATATATATATACAGACACACACACACAGATACATATATATACAGACACACACACACACACTTCCTGACTCTACTCTTACCAATCTTGCACACTACAATTTTTTTTTTGGCAAGATTTTCTTTGACCTCTGCTGGAGTGGAAAGTTGGGAGAAATTTACAAGCAGAGGCTATGCAGGGTACACGTACTTCCAGGCAGCCCTTGCCACAGCTCAGCAGTGTGTGCGGAAGAATCTGTCAGCAGCCCGCCCTTGCAGCGTGAGCAAACTGCACTGTGTATGGTACAACACAGCTGTTACCTCTTGTCCAAATCCATACAGCAAGAACTTGGACACATTAGATTCATCAAGACCTGGGGCTTAAATCCTATGTGACTGGAAACAGCCTGCAGAGTTATCTGTGGCTAGTGGTGGTGGTGGGGGGGGCTGGGAGTTCTTCTGGTGGGTAATTTCCCAGGGTGGCAGTGGTCATTCGGAGCCCATTGTTAACTCTTTCAGTTTCTACCCAAACCCATCCTTGTTTGTTTGGCTGGTGCCCACCCACACCCATGCTTTCAGAAGATTGTTTTCTACAAGAAGTCTGGGCCTATAAAAACTAGAACAAAAAGAAGCCATAAAGCATCTGAATCCAGAACTCCTCTAGTTGAATCTCTGTCCTTCCAGCCTAGTCTCAGACAGGCACAATAAAGAAATCCTCCAAACAGCCAGAGTGCTCACTGGCCTATGGAGATGGGGTAGGGGCCCCATGGCTGCCTGTAACCCTGAGCCTATTCACAGCTCCAAAACCATCTTCTTCAAAATCCTTCAAAAACCTTAGACTCAAGGGACGTGCTACAAACCATGTTGACAAACCTTTTCTGTCTTCCTCTGCAAGTGGACACCTGGTAGAGGCCAGTGGAAACCAACTGCAAACAACCCAAGGCCAGTGTCATCTCTGTGGGTTCCAGGTGGGATACAGACCTTGTGTGCACACAGACATGAGAATATAAACATCCCTGACTCGTGTGGGAGTTCCTTTGCATTAGGTGGGGGGAGGGGATTTCCATGTGTCTGAGGAGGAGAGTGTGTGCACACTCGCTTGTGCATGTGCACACACATAATAACAGACATATGGAAACTAAGGGAAGGAAGTTCTGGGGGAAAGGATGTGTTTTCTGGTTAAGGGCAGTTGTCTCTGTGATGGGAGGTGGGAATCAGGGAAATTTTGTGTTTGTGTGTGTGTATACAACACGTATGCCGGTGCCCCTACCCAAGTGCACAGAGAAGACGCTGGAAAAAGTGGTTTGAGAGCCTGTGGATATTCTCAAGGAGAGAAACCTGGCAGCTCCCCATACCACAGGCTAGTACGCACTGCGTGCTCACGAAGCTCATTTCCTGTGCTAATTACCAGCCCTTTGTTTATACAGGACACAAAATGCAGCTGATAGCAGAAACTCCAGGCCTCAGCTAGAGTCCAGGGCTACTCAGCAGGGCAAGAGAGTGTGAAGGGAGGTCCCTGCCTTGTTTCTTTTGAAGGACACATGAAATCAATTTTCAACATGAATCTACAATTCCCACCCATCTGTGCCCTGGTGGGGAAGCTTGTTTTCTGTGGTGGGCTGTGCTGGAGCTCAGGCACTGAGACCCTTCCCCAGCCCCCACCCTTTTTTTTTTTAACAATCATGTCTTCTTCATTGCTCTAGAGCCAAACCTAGTGTCTAGTCTGTGCCCTGTGACAGCTTGTGGCATTCCAGGATGCATTTCTGTGCTTTTGAAAGATGCATTTTATAGGTCTGGCTTGTTTAGAGTTGAAGTTTGTCCACCCAACCCCAGGAAACGTTTATGGGCTTTTTCTCAGTTTCATCCTGGTTTTGCTTTGTTTGGTAGCACAGAAAGGAAGAGCTTGGCCTACATGCCTAGTTCTTTGTGTGTGTGTGTGTGTGTGTGTGTGTGTGTGTGTGTCTGTATGCCTGAGGGAGAAATGCCACAGGGACATTAGGACAGGGCTTTCTGACCACCTCAACGGGGTGAGAAACTGTATTCTGTGAACAAACTCATGGCATGTGACCTCTTCAGGTCTGTCTTGCTGTTGTGCTCATCCAAGCGGTGCCCAGTTCATAGTGCACACATGGTGACCCCTTATTTAACCATGGTGCACTGCATTCTGTGCATGGTCCATAGCAGCATTACCAGTTGTGCACAATGCTCCCACTGTTTTAGCATAGCTCTGGGCCTTGTTAAATCATGGGTCCCAAATGCCTACTTAGGTCTCCAGTTCCGCCTCTGGTCCTCTCAGTCTGGACTAGAGAAAGCAATGGTGACAATCTCCTGGACACTGGGTTCAGTGAAACAGCCTGGAACCAAGTCTAGACAAAATCCCCTTGAAGATTTCACCATGGCTCTTGGCCCTGTCAAAAGTGTAAGTACTAGGGAAGGCTCACAAGGAGGCAGAGATGGAGCTGGTGTTTTATATTCTCCTCATGCTAAAGGCTAAACCCTATATAAGGCTCTGTCTAAGCACAGAGTCCCAAAATGGAGGGACTCAGATACACTAATGGGGTCATTTCTCTGATTCTTCCCTGACCTGCTAGAGAGCATCAGTTGTTTATGGTGATGAGGACTACCTCAGTCCTTCCTTGGATGAGTCCTTCTGTCACTCTCAGGGGAGGACACAGAGTCACTAGTCACACAGAGACCATCAAACAAGAAGACTCTAAAGACTGGAATTCTTTATTGACTGCTTCAACTCTTCTGAACTGATGCCTGAAGTACAAGAAATTTGCAAGGAACCTGGGGACACTGATGGATACAGATAGACAGTGAGGCCTAGAATAATGTCCTTTGTTGGAATATTCAGCTCCTGCAAGCCCAGACCCCAGTAGAGTCAACATCCCATGCAATGTAGCAAGGCACTGTACTGATCTATGGTTTTAGGCCCAGGCATGTGCAGAGTACTATGATGACAGCATGCAGTCCGGGCTGGGCTCTACCCTGCAGAAAACGGGCTCCCTGTGTTTGCCAGTCACACCTTTCTTGGTGTCACATGTCAATTTACCCAACTAAACCTGGAAGGATGCCAACTGATTCTTGCTCTCTTATCCTCAAAGGGGGGAAAAAAGATTCTGAGAGTCTCTGCAGGCCATCTGACATCTGAACTGGAATCTCCTCCCTAGAGGCATTGGTTTCAGGGAAGGGTAAGACCTGCTTTGTCTATCCCAGCACCCCAAATGTGCCTTTGTCTCCATGGCCATCACAGAAACTTCCTGTTTCCTGTGCTCCTGCATCTAGCTTACAGGTGTCTAAGAAACATCCTAGCTCTCTGGGATCCTGATTGTAGGATGACGAACATAGAACCCACAATTCCAAAAGGGGGTTGCCCAATACTCACTCAGCAATGCTCCTTGAGAGAGACCGTTTTCACAAGTGAAACCTGGCTAGTTTCTTTCTCACCCCTAACCCCTGATACCCAGAGCTACTTTTCTTTGCCTTTGAAATGGGCATGCCAGCCCAAGCCCAGCCCCAGCACCAGGTCTTAGTACAGCTAGTGCTAAGAGAGTTTTGTGAGCTGGCTGGTATGATACATCAGGGCTGGGGCACCCCAGTGTCTGCATCACCGTCATCTAACAAGATTGGTGTGTGGCCTGGAGACTAAGTCCTTCCAAGTGCTCTTTCCCACATGAGCACTGTTCAGAGGTTGAAGGGGTGACTACTACACCTCAGAAACTGCTCTTCCCTCTGTGAACAGGAAAGGAGAGTTGTGAGGCCCAGGGTTCGGCATCCTTACCTCGGGTGGCACTGTCTTTTATTGCCATTGGTTAAATGAGCACAGAGATTCTTTCCTGCAGGGTAATGTCTGGAAGGAATCTAGACTCTTGTATG